TACAACATCCAGTTCCACTGGATGCGCTACTCTTAAGGATCGTATGGTCCAGTGGATAAGGGCGTCATGTGTTGTCGCCCACCATGAAGTAGGCCAAAGCAGCATGGGTTCGAGTCCTTGGCTAGTGAAGTGTTGTTATTTATTATATTTATATATATATATATAATATATATATATATATAATTATATATATATATATATATATATATATATATATATATATATATATATATATATATATATATATATAATATATATATATATATATATATATATATTATATATATATATATATATATATATATATATATAACTTTGTGCATAATTTATGTAAAAGAAATTCCAGTTATATTTAGTTTTGTTATTACATTCATAACACTGCATCATCACATTGTGTGACTTCTCCAAATACACCTTAAGTGTAAAAAAAAAAAAAAAAAAAAAAAAAATCCAATTTATCGTTGGTAGTCGTATTCTGTTAAGTACTATTGTTCACTTAACTACCTCACTTTTTATACATTTAAGAAACTCCTACTAGATAACCAGTGTCTAATTCTTCAGTAGTCTATGTAAGCATTAGTATTAGTCTGTCCGAAATGCAGACGAAGTGACTTTCCATTAGGAGTCCAAAGTGGCTTTCTTTTGTGCTTAACAATATTTTATTACATGTAAACTACATTTTGCATACTGCAGAAAAGAAATAAAGTTGTATTGTGGAAAAATAAACACCAGTGCAATATAATGCGATCCTTTACTACGTTTCACCCATACAGTGAGCTTTATCAAGTCATAAACAGATCTACCTGGGTAAGTAAGTTTATTCAGGTATACACAAATACAGTTACATAGAATTATCATACATAGCAGCATGAGTAGAGAACCTGGGATAACCCAAAAAAGTCAGTGACTTATTTCCATTGGGGTCCTTTTACCTTATTATGATATTTATTTATTTATTTATAAATTTTAGCATACATACAGAGGTACAAAAGGTTATAATATTTTCTTATTATTCTATAATGAAGAAAACATCTTACTATTGTACTAAAAAGACTATCTACTACACGAGGGTCATTACTAGAAATAAGGTAAAATTTACACTTATGTTAGCTAAAAAACAGAAAATCATTCCCCTCCTTTTCTGTAGCTACATTCATCAGACACATTTTGGCACTCTTCTTGAACTGGTTCATGCTATGACTGGCTTTGACATGTGCAGGCAGTGCTATAACTTAAATTGCCAGGCATACCATCTAAAGGGGACAAAAAGATACAAAACATCCAGGCCATGGGAAAACCTGGGTAGCCACAGCCACTCAAGAGGGAGAGGTTTTTTAGTGCCAGGAAGGAAAAAAAACTGGCAGGAAATGGCAGAAATCGTACACCAAATCCAGTCATTCCTGGAGTGGAACCACAGTCGATGGCCTCCACTCCAAACCAACAGATACAGATACTAATGCCGGAAAAAAAATCCCCCCCCAGTACCAACAATACCACCAGTCCGATAACATTCTTCTTTGCAAATATACAGGGTCTAAAGCCAGCAATAAACAACAAAATACCTTTCATCCGTGGACTGCTTGCAGAGGCAAAGGCAATGTTCGCGGCTTTCACTGAGACCCACATAAAGGATCACTTGGACAACGAAATATGGATCCCAGGTTACAACCTATACAGATGTGACAGAGTGAACAGGCAAAAGGGGGGGGTTGGCCTGTACATTGCAGAGTCACTTGTTTGCACAGAACTGCTTAATGCCTCAAATGACGTAGTGGAAGTTTTAGCAGTAAAGGTCGAGAACCAAAACCTAGTCATTGTGGTAGTCTACAAGCCTCCGGATGCAACATCCCAGCAATTCCAGGAACAGCTGTTAAAAATTGACCACTGTCTGGAAAATCTTCCAGCTCCTGCACCCAACATCTTGCTCCTGGGGGATTTCAACTTAAGGCACCTAAAATGGAGGAATATAGCAAATAATATTGTTGCAGTAATAACACCAGGAGGCAGCTCTGATGAAAACTCACACTCACACGAGCTTTTAAATCTCTGCACAAAATTCAATTTAAACCAGCAAATAATAGAGCCTACTAGACTGGAGAATACACTAGACCTCATCTTCACTAACAATGATGATCTGATAAGAAATGTCACCATATCAAAAACAATATACTCAGATCACAACATAATTGAGGTTCAGACATGTATGCGTGGAGCCCCAGACCGACAAAATGAGACTAGTCACGAGGGAGCATTCACCAAATTCAACTTCAATAACAAAAACATAAAGTGGGACCAAGTAAACCAAGTCCTAACCGATATAAGCTGGGAAGATATACTAAGCAACACAGACCCAAACTTATGCCTAGAACAGATTAACTCGGTGGCACTCGATGTATGCACAAGGCTTATTCCTCTAAGAAAAAGGAGGAGTAGATGTAAAATAGAAAGAGACAGGCGCTCCCTTTACAGGCGACGGAAAAGAATAACAGAGCGGCTAAAAGAGGTCAATATATCAGAAATGCGCAGGGAGACACTGGTCAGAGAAATAGCAAGCATCGAACTTAAGCTAAAAGAATCCTTTAGGAGTCAGGAGACGCGGGAAGAACTAAAAGCCATAAATGAAATCGAAAGAAACCCAAAGTATTTCTTCTCCTATGCCAAATCAAAATCGAGAACAACGTCCAGTATTGGGCCCCTACTTAAACAAGATGGGTCCTACACAGATGACAGCAAGGAAATGAGTGAGCTACTCAAGTCCCAATATGACTCAGTTTTTAGCAAGCCGCTAACCAGACTGAGAGTCGAAGATCAAAATGAATTTTTTATGAGAGAGCCACAAAATTTGATTAACACAAGCCTATCCGATGTTATCCTGACGCCAAATGACTTCGAACAGGCGATAAATGACATGCCCATGCACTCTGCCCCAGGGCCAGACTCATGGAACTCTGTGTTCATCAAGAACTGCAAGAAGCCCCTATCACGAGCCTTTTCCATCCTATGGAGAGGGAGCATGGACACGGGGGTCGTCCCTCAGTTACTAAAAACAACAGACATAGCCCCACTCCACAAAGGGGGCAGTAAAGCAACAGCAAAGAACTACAGACCAATAGCACTAACATCCCATATCATAAAAATCTTTGAAAGGGTCCTAAGAAGCAAGATCACCACCCATCTAGAAACCCATCAGTTACACAACCCAGGGCAACATGGGTTTAGAACAGGTCGCTCCTGTCTGTCTCAACTACTGGATCACTACGACAAGGTCCTAAATGCACTAGAAGACAAAAAGAATGCAGATGTAATATATACAGACTTTGCAAAAGCCTTCGACAAGTGTGACCATGGCGTAATAGCGCACAAAATGTGCGCTAAAGGAATACGTAACAGGAAAAGTTGGTCGATGGATCTATAATTTCCTCACTAACAGAACACAGAGAGTAGTCGTCAACAGAGTAAAGTCCGAGGCAGCTACGGTGAAAAGCTCTGTTCCACAAGGCACAGTACTAGCTCCCATCTTGTTCCTCATCCTCATATCCGACATAGACAAGGATGTCAGCCACAGCACCGTGTCTTCCTTTGCAGATGACACCCGAATCTGCATGACAGTGTCTTCCATTGCAGACACTGCAAGGCTCCAGGCGGACATCAACCAAATCTTTCAGTGGGCTGCAGAAAACAATATGAAGTTCAACGATGAGAAATTTCAATTACTCAGATATGGTAAACATGAGGAAATTAAATCTTCATCAGAGTACAAAACAAATTCTGGCCACAAAATAGAGCGAAACACCAACGTCAAAGACCTGGGAGTGATTATGTCGGAGGATCTCACCTTCAAGGACCATAACATTGTATCAATCGCATCTGCTAGAAAAATGACAGGATGGATAATGAGAACCTTCAAAACTAGGGAGGCCAAGCCCATGATGACACTCTTCAGGTCACTTGTTCTATCTAGGCTGGAATATTGCTGCACTCTAACAGCACCTTTCAAGGCAGGTGAAATTGCCGACCTAGAAAATGTACAGAGAACTTTCACGGCGCGCATAACGGAGATAAAACACCTCAATTACTGGGAGCGCTTGAGGTTTCTAAACCTGTATTCCCTGGAACGCAGGAGGGAGAGATACATGATTATATACACCTGGAAAATCCTAGAGGGACTAGTACCGAACTTGCACACGAAAATCACTCACTACGAAAGCAAAAGACTTGGCAGACGATGCACCATCCCCCCAATGAAAAGCAGGGGTGTCACTAGCACGTTAAGAGACCATACAATAAGTGTCAGGGGACCGAGACTGTTCAACTGCCTCCCAGCACACATAAGGGGGATTACCAACAGACCCCTGGCAGTCTTCAAGCTGGCACTGGACAAGCACCTAAAGGCAGTTCCTGATCAGCCGGGCTGTGGCTCGTACGTTGGTTTGCGTGCAGCCAGCAGCAACAGCCTGGTTGATCAGGCGCTGATCCACCAGGAGGCCTGGTCACAGACCGGGCCGCGGGGGCGTTGACCCCCGAAACTCTCTCCAGGTAAACTCCAGTGTTCCATTCCTTTATTGTTGTACAATGAAAGGTGTTGGAAGCCTGGCCAATGACTGTAGGTACTACAAAGTTGTGCTCTCTCTAGGTATAATGTTTGGCAGGAAACAGGATAATCTAGCTGGGTAAAGTGTACATGAGTATATATAGTGTGGGGGAGCCAGGTGGAGAATGTTTGGTAGGTCTTATTAGAGATGGTCTTGCACGTCCCGTGAAGGTCAGTCTCCAATAAAACCTACCCAATATTCCCAGGTAAATTTGTGTCTAACTTGATAAAAGTCCATTGTGTGGGCGAAACGAGTTAACAAGGATCGCACTATACAGTATTTGTTTATTTTTTCCATCGTCTCGGTATTATATCTTATTTATTTATCTGTAATGTACAAGTGTGGTCTCCCCCTTCCCCGGGGTGGAAGGGTGGGGGGGGGGGTCGCCGTGCGCCGGGCGCTGCGCACTTGTTATCACCAGCTCAGTTTGTTTACATCCACGACTGGTGTTGGTTGCTGCTGCTGCTTCTCTCTCTTAACCTGCCTGATACTTCACATAGTGGGGGAGTAGGTGACTTGAGAGAGCAAGATGCCGTTCATGAAGGGTCTAGCGCCAATCAGGCGAACACTTCAGTACTTAGAGTCGTCTAAACTAGTGCTGCGAGAGAGAGTACAGGTGCTGACCCTACACCACCTGTCATCCCTACCCCATAACCCAGTCCTATTACTTTAATACCAACTCAGTCCTATTACCTTAACAACCCAGCCTTATTACCTTACTTAATAACAACCCAGCCCTATTACCTTAATAATCCAGCCCCATTACCTTAACAACCCAGCCCTATTACCTTGCTTATATCACTACTTACCTGGATAATCATACCTATTATGTGCAACACCTGAGTATTTTTGTGGAAACATTTTGCTACACAGTGGCTTCATCAGTTAAGTACAAAGAAGAATGGTGGAACTCAGGAATAGTTTGAGGTAATCAGTCCCTTAGCCTGGAGTCAATTAGGTGGACTGAACACGCTGACTCCAGGCTGAGGAACTCATTACCTAAACTACTACTCATCTTCCACTTTTCTCTGCATTGGACTGAAGACTAAACTGTTGACTGTGTGTTTGTCCTGCACAATATATCATGCGAGGACAGACCCTTACTGACTTAATAATAATATGCGAGGATAAACATTTACTGGTAGCCTTTGTTCCCTAGTGTCTGTGAAGGGTTTGATAACGTTTTACCATTTAAGCCACATGCAAAGGTATTACATATGAGTAATTTATATCTAGAATTTATTTATACTGAATATCACTATATATTTTATGACCATGCATAAGATAAAACTACAATAACAAGATTTCACATAAAAGTTTCAGTGCTCTCAGTGACTGGTTGAAAAATATATGTACAACACTTAGGACATTTAAATAGGCATTGCACCCCACTAAAGACTTTTGTCACTCCCATACACCTTTTACTTAAAACAAGGTTTATATAGTGTCCTGTTTTCAGTGAACTAGAGAACTGAGAAAACCCACAGCAAGTAAAACATTTCCTTAATGTCCTAGTGTTGCATTTGGTGTCTATACCACAGTCTGTCAGTACTGATACACATTATACTTTTATCACTAACATTTTGAAATTACTGAAATGCATATTACTTATTTTTATTGTAATCAAGGGAAAGTGCTAAACCCTAAGGGGTCATTTAGCACTTGGGTAATAAAGTAACATTCAGGTTTGATCCAAGGAGCCCCTAAGTGTTAGGTAAAAGGACACACGTGCAACCAATGCAACATTTTATTGTGGCAACTTTTCGCTCTCCAGGGGCTTTGTCAAGCCGTTACGGCTTAACAAGCTCTTGGAGAGTGAAACGTTGCCACAATAAAATGTTGCAATGGTTGCACACGTGCCCTTTAACCTAACACGTTGTTAGTAAGTCTACCAGCATTAAAACAAGGAGCCCCTGGCTGGCATCAAGGCACCTCAGCAGAGGCTGCATTTTTTATTTTACTGGAAATGCCTAATAGATTCACAGTATAAAACATAACTACTGTGTGGCAGCAGCTCCTAGAGTATTTATAACACAGCAATGTAAAAATACTGTACAGCCTCTCCTCACTTACCAACGACTTGGACTTACGACAGGCTCTCTGACCATTATGCTTACCTAAATAATGTATATTAGAGTTGATTTCCTCTATATTGTTTATTACAATATACAGTACACTACTGTATAAACATATAAAAATATACCAGAAATGTAATAAATGGTACAAAGGTGACATTAAAACAAAATAAAAAATAGTTGACAATCCCACTACCATTATAGTATGCTCCTCACTTAGCAACAAATTTGTTTACTGATGTGGTCTTAGGAATGGAACTCCATCGTTAAGTGAGGAGAGACTGTATTGAAGAATTAATTTAGTCCATTAAAAAAATAAGCCTCTTATGTACAGCATTACTATGATAGGCCAGAGATGGTATCTAATACTGACAGGTACATAATTAAACCATGTGCTCATTGGGAGCTTGTCAATCCAATGATTGACAAAGTTCGTATTATTATTATTATTATTATAATCATAACCAAGTGCTAAACCTGTAAGGGTCTCATATTAAGTAAAACAATTCCTTAATAAAAATATCCCAGTGCTATGCATATCTTAATTACCATGATTTATGCATAAAAGAATTTTGAGTGTTTGAAAGTTGAAGCTATTTATCGAAGCAATATTTCTACATTTTAGGGTTAATGCACTTTGGTTAAGTTAGGTCACAGATCCAGCAAAATTGTTTTATCCACTCTATGGTTACTGTTTATCTATAAATTCAGCATATTTTTAAGGAAGTGGATATTATGTGCCGAGCATACAATACAGTGGACCCCCGAGTTTCGTGATTAATCTGTTCCAGAGAGTCTGCTGACTGGCGAAATTCATGATTGGCGAATCTATTTTCCCCATAAGAAATAATGGAAACCCAATTAATCCATTTCAGACAGCCAAACTATTAACAAAAAAAAATATTTTTTTAAAGATTAAATACAGATTTACATACAGAAAACAATGACAAATATAAAGCACCAATAAAATGGATAAATGAACATTTAACATCACACTTAACCTTTATTGATTCTTGTTGGTGTAGGAGGTAGGTAGGAGGCAAGAGGAAGGCGAGTTTATTATGCTTCAATATGACGCTAATATCATCTCTACGGCTTATTTATCTATCACAATTCGTCTAATATGACATTTTAAACAATATTAATAACATAGAAACATGATATATACTCTAGAATGAATAAAATGTCATAATGTATGAGAGGAGTAAATGGTGTAAGTGCTGTTGTTGGGTTTAAGGGCCGCTGGTGAGAGAAGCCGTGTTGGTGGCGGTGGAGGCTTTGGCCACCACCACCATCACACTTTAGCAATGTATATAATTTATAAATAAATATTTACATTTTAATTTATAAATAAGAAATATTTACATTTTAATTTATAAAGTCAATTTATTCAGGTATACACAAATACAGTTACATACATAGATTATCATACATAGCAGCATATGTGTAAAGTACCCAGGAAAACCCAAAAAATTCAAGAGTGACATATTTCCATTGGTGTCCTTTTATATTTACACTTATATTTACTTTTATACTTACACTTTTATATTTACACTTACCTTGGAGATGTTAGTTTAATTAGTTTGATGAACTAGATGTTGGCAGAGGTTTAGGGTGGTGGAAGATAGCAGGGTGCTGTTTGTTCAGCAGTCCTATACACATCCAACAACATTGGAGAGTTACTCTCATGTTGTTTTTCTATTGCTTACTCGCTTAACTTACTTGCTACACTGCTAATTCTACACTTAATTGCTGGCTGGAGCTATAGCCTTTATCGATACCTGCTGCTTTAGTATCATACATATTGTAGAATCACTGAATCACTGCAGAAGGCACATTCTCCCCTCTCTCTTCCTCCTCTAGTACTTTGCTATGAGTTTTTTTTCTTGAATTCTATCATGTTTCTCACCTTCTTTACCAAAGGGCTGGCACTAGGAGCTTTCTTTGGGCCCATGGTGGCTTATTTAGCAGTTGCAAGCACAAAAAACAATGAATTATTATGAAATGTGTTGTATGAGCCTGTGGGGTGATGGTCACATGCTGGTAAACAATGGCACACTGAGTGTGAATAGTGTGGGAGACTAGCTTTGTGTGTGCGCTGACGGGCAGACGCATACCAGAAGGTTGCTGAATCACGAGTCCAAGCATGAACCACGAAGCTAAATTTTACCGTAAAAACTTGTCGAAAGTCGGATTTCACGAAAATCGTGGCCGCCGAACGGCGGAGGTCCACTGTACAGACAACTGGTCTAGCAGCTGCTCTGGTTTAATTTGGCATTATCATTTACAACACTGAAGAACCTGCAACATGTACTGTAGTCCACATCAGAGGAATAACTTTGCGATGAAGAGAAATTGCCTGATTTACCAACTTAAAACTAAAGCAATAAGTCAGAATCTGCACTATAGACTACAGTATTTCTATGTATTTTTTACAAAGAACGTGGATTCTTGAGTTTCATGATTAATCTGTTCCAGAGTCTGCTGAATGGCGAAATTCACGAATAGCGAAACCATTTTCCCCATAAGAAATAATGGAAATCCAATTAATCCATATCAGACACCCAAAAGTATTTAAAAAAAGTATTTTTTGTTAAGATTAAATATAGATTTACATACATAAAACAATGACAAATAAATATAAAGCACTAACAAAATTGAAGACTCTTGTTGGTAGAGGCGAATTTATTATTTATTTATTTATTTATTTATTAATTTGAACATGATACAGAGAAGTACAAAGGAATACAGTTATTAAAGTGCAACATGCCAAAGTCCCTTGTATGCAGAGCATTATGGGCAGGCTTAAAATTAACTTATGATTAACTAAGCAATGATATACATATTCAGTGGTAAAAACATTATTGTAAACAGATAACAATTTAGCACAAATGAGTATTACAAAGACAGGTTATATGGTCATTTACTGTGTTGCTGTGCATTCAGTAGAATGGAGTATTCTGTTAGGTAGTGTAATTAAAAAATAAAGTTTGGCTGGGTCACAGGTTAGACATTTATGAGATACAGTAATGAGAAACATATATGAGATACAATTATACAGTTTTTATTTAGTTGTGGGTGAGTAAGTGATTTTTGAGAAGAGACTTGAATTTATAAACAGTGTTTCTTTTATATCCACAGGTAATTATGCTTCAATATGACGCTACTATCATCTCTACAGCTTATTTATCTATCACAATTCATCTAATATAACATAATAAACAATGATATATACTCCAGAATTAATAAAATTTCATTCCGTATATCACGAGTTGTGGTGGTGGTGGTGTGTTTGTAAGGGCCACTGAGAGAAGCTGTACATAACAGTGGTGATGGAGGCTGCAGCAGAAGCCACCACCACTATTCACACAATGTATGTAATTTATAAATAAGAGATATTTACATTTTATAAATAAGAAATATTTACACTTACCTTGGAGGAGATGTTAGTTTAATTAGTTAGTTTAATGGAGAAGATGCTGGCTGTGGTTTAGGGTGGTGGAAGATAGGGCGGCGTATGTTCAGTGGTCCTATACACCTCCAACAACGTTAGAGAGTTACTTTCATGTCGTTTTTTTTTATCGCTTAATCTCTTAACTTGCTTGCTACACTGTTAACACTACACTTTATCGCTGGCTGACGCTAGAGCCGTTATCAATACCTGCTGCTTTAGTATTGTACATATCGTAGAATCAATGAATTACTGAAGAAAGCACATTTTCCCCCCTCTCTTCCTCCTCCACTTTGGTACTTTGCTACAAGTTTTTTCTTGAATTTCATGTTTCTTTCCTTCTTTTCTTTGGGCCCATGGTGGCTTATTTAGCAGTTGCAAGCACAAAAAACAGTGGATTACAGTGGACCCCCGCATACCGTTGGCTTTGCATAACGCTAAATCCGCATACCGCTACATTTTATCGCCAAGATTTTGCCTCGCATACCGCTAAAAAACCCGCTCAATGCTGTTCGTCCGAGACGCGTCTAATGTGCGCCTCACATGTTCTGCCGGTGGCATTGTTTACCAGCCAGCCTCCGCGGTAACATCCAAGCATACAATCAGAACATTTCGTATTATTACAGTGTTTTTGGTGATTTTATCTGCAAAATAAGTGACCATGGGCCCCAAGAAAGCTTCTAGTGCCAACCCTACAGCAATAAGGGTGAGAATTACTATAGAGATGAAGAAAAAGATCATTGATAAGTATGAAATATGGAGTGCGTGTCTCCGAGCTGGCCAGGTTGTATAATAAACCCCAATCAACCATCGCTACTATTGGTGGTACAGCTGCTGCTGCTGTAGTACCGTCTGCTGCTGCTGCTGTAGTACCGTCTGCTGCTGCTGCTGTAGTACCGTCTGCTGCTGCTGCTGTAGTACCGTCTGCTGCTGCTGTTGTAGTACAGTCTGCTGCTGCTGCTGCTGCTGCTGTTGTAGTACCGTCTGCTGCTGCTGTAGCATCGTCTGCTGCTGCTGTAGCACTGTCAGCTGCTGCTGCTGCTGTAGCATCGTCTGCTGCTGCTGTAGCATTGTCTGCTGCTGCTGTAGCACTGTCAGCTGCTAGTGCTGCTGTAGCACTGTCAGCTGCTGCTGCTGCTGCTGCTGCTGCTGCTGCTGCTGTAGCACCGTTGTTGGTGTGGCTTATTGAGAATACCAAGAAACAATTAACCCCAGAGGATTTGCCACCCAGGATAACCCAAAAAAAGTCAGTGTCATCGAAGACTGTCTAACTTATTTCCATTGGGGTCCTTAATCTTCTCTCCCAGGATGCAACCCACACCAGTCGACTAACACCCAGGTGAACAGGGAAAAATGCCTGGAACTAGTGCTCATATTGGTGAATTTAAAGCCAGCAAAGGTTGGTTTGAGAGATTTAAGAATCGTAGTGGCATACACAGTGTGATAAGGCCTGTTCTGGAAGAAAATGCCAAACAGGACCTACAGTACTCAGGAGGAAAAGGCACTCCCAGGACACAGTGTCTCATCAGTCATTGCTGCATCTTCAATAAAGGTAAGTGTCATTTATTCTTCATTTAGTAGAGTAGTACATGCACAATATATATTGTGCATGTACTACTCTACTATTGTGCATGTATCCTTCTCTTTGTGTGTAGGAAAATGTATATTTCATGTGGTAAAAATTTTTTTTTCATACTTTCGGGTGTCTTGCATGGATTAATTTGATTTCCATTATTTCTTATGGGGAAAATTCATTCGCATAACAATGAGCTCTCTTGCACGGATTAATATCGCTATGCGGGGGTCCACTGTATTATGAAATGTATCGTATGAATCACAAGGCTAATTACGAACCGCGAGGCTAAATTTTGACGAAAAAAGTTGCTGAAAGTCGCGGCTGCCATAATGCAGGGGTCTACTGTACATATAACAAGAACACTTTACTGCTCAGAGCAAAATGATCATAATGACATGTGTAAAACAACTCTTATATGCTACAACCAATAAAGAGGGCTCTTCACAAGTGCTGGGTTTAGAATATGGTCTTGCTAAAATTGATGTTTCCTTTGGAGGTGCAAGGTTGAAAAATTTAAATTATTTAAATCAAAATGAATGTAATGCTGCCTTGTGTCAGAGAGTTTGCAGGAACTTAAGATATTCAATTATTTTTCAATAACTGACTGAAAGTGTGGTAAATGTAGATTTAATTGATGTCTTTATGCTGTATGACCCATGTGGGTTAAGCACTTGATTTTTATAATATTATGCTGTATCAATGTTTTATATACAGTATATATAACTGTATTAAGCAAATTTGTGATCTCTGGGCTAGCAGCTTAGAGAGTGAGAAAAAAAAATTAAATATATTTCATTATCAGTCACTAAGCTAGAGCTATTTATAATTCTTCAAAAAACTAATTGTGTTATTTTGTGTTACAGTAGTACATATATAGTAATAAACAATTTTCCCCATTATATTTTGCAGTTAGTGTCTGTGAATTATAACACACATGGAGAGCACCACAAGGGTGTACAAGAATTTGTGTTCTGGCACCTTCCACAACTACAATATAAAAATCCAAATATACAGGTATGTATACTACAACACTGTGATGTACACTAGATAAATTTTAACTTGCTTTATTTGATGCATAAACTAGTAACTGGTTATAGCTTTTCTTGCAGGTTTAGGTCGGCATTTACAAGGTAACTTATTAGATTAGATGAAAAGCACACAGGATAACATGCATCTATAGAATCTAAATTTTGTGTACTATTATTATAATCAAAACTAAGTATGAGTGCTTATAAGGACTTGTTTACTACACTTCTATACTTGTTAATGAATTTTTATTATTGTTTGTAATTTAAAGCGTGATTTTAATTTTTAACTCTTTCAGATTGCTACTTTTAGGAACTTGACACCAACACCATTTATACGAATATTCTTGGATGACGGTGAAGATGTCCTTATGGACGTTGACTCAAAGTCTCGCCCAGAAATTTATGATCATTTTAGGAAGATCTTTTGCAAGTCTGATAGCAAACTGGCACAGGAAGAATGGGAGCGCCAGAGTCGTGATAACCCTGCAAACTTTGGTTGGGGCTGTGATCGGCAATGCATTTGTGAGGTGCCTGGTCAGGTACCCTGTCCAGGAATAATCCCATTGCCAAAATTCATGAGGGGCAAATATAAAAGTGGAAAAGCTTAAAGTGAATGTCATACCTTATAGTATATTCTCAATTATAAACAAATACATTTGATCCTGCTTGTATATAAAATTGTGTGGATGAAGGGTTCAGAGAACCGACAAGTTGATAAATTACACATATGCAACACTTGGGTATCTTTATTGAGGAAACGTTTTGCCACTTAGTGGCTTCATCAGTCCATACAAAGAAGAATGGTGAAGAACAGGAGGAGTATGAAGTAATCAGTCCCTCAGCCTTGAGTCAATGTGGTCAGTCCACCAATCTTGATGGACTAACCACATCAACTCAAGGCTGAGGGACTGACCACATCGACTCAAGGCTGAGGGACTGATTACCTCATACTCCTCCTGTTCTTCACCATTCTTCTTTGTATGGACTGATGAAGCCACTGTGTGGCAAAATGTTTCCTCAACAAAGATACCCAAGTGTTGCATGTGTCTAATTTATCATATAAAATTGTATTAAGATCTTAATGGTATCACATTTTCTTTACATCTGTTGTCAGCAGTTTTGCAACATAATTACATCTGGAAATAAAAAAAACATGGCAAATATGAAAAATCATTAATAATGTAAATAACATTTTAATGGAACCATTACTTTTAAAAATAAATGTAAAAGGCTCTTATGTTTTTCATTATAATCATAACTAAGTGCTAAAACCATAAGGGTCACAAAGAAAAGCCACTTTTTTAAACAAAAGTGTACCATTGCTTGGCAATGTTTTATATGAAGACTGCTTCCTCCTGCATTCAAAGGTTAATAACTGTTCCACTAAACCACTTGTCTCCCACATACTTCATTTTCTGCATACAGCAATAGACAAACAATATTTACAAAATATGCCAAACTCAGGTTATAGAGCACTACGAGGCTGAGGGAAGCTAGCAGCAAAGGAAAGCAGTGTGAACAGGTGACCATAACTTTGATATGCTTATCCTCTTCTATATTCTATACATACTGTACAATGTTTATATTAATGTTCACTTTACCTGTCCTTCCTTACTTTCTTCAACCCTCCTCTACAGATGCCTATGCAATTTACTCTGTTTATATATACACCTTCTCAAACTAGTTAATTGTTTGTCACTTCCTCTATTTCCTCAAGAGCTCTTCTTCATCCATGTGCATACAGACACCTACAAATCTCTTGCTCTTCAGACCCTTCTAATAAGCAACTCTGTCTTGATTATATAAAAAAAAAAAACTACATGTATTTTTTGCCACCACATGCCTGCTGTCCATTTGATGATTCTGGGGATAATCACCTTGTGGAGTGATCTTGGACCAAGTTTCCAGTTGATGACTTGGTCAGACTGTTACTGCTTGAGGTATATAATAAAACATGGGCACCACAGCACAGCTCATTAGGAACAGTTTTGAGAAATATGGAACTCATTTAAAGGTGACTAGATTATTTTCCTTATATTTGAAGTTAGGATGTTCCAAAATCCTTGTACACAACAATGCTTTTTTTTACTATATCCACTGGTGTACCTGTTATGTACATTTCTTCAAAGGGGGAAGTGGTGTCTTGAAGGTGAAGGGTCTTTAATCCATGAAATTTTATATGCCCTTCACTTCCTTGAAACAAATCAGATTGCTTCCTATTTCTGCAAGTGCTTTTGACCTTTTGGTTTAGCTCAAACTGATGATAATAAATAACAATAATAATAAAGTGTTGTATGAACTCTACGTGTTTAGCTCTTCCCCACGAGTATAATAATAATTTTGCACTCTTGCTTTTCATTTGGGCTAATTTGTACTCTCATTTTTTCCCTTCAAGAGAGGGGGGGGGGGGGTTACCTTGATGCTTAAGAAAGAGCTCTTTATCCAAGGAACTGTAGCGACTTTTCCTTCCTTATATCAAACCTGATTACTCCACTCCTCCCATTAACCAGGGTTTAGCATTTCCACTTGAATATAATCATAATCTTGTCTTTGCCCCTCTCCTAAGAGGTTGTACATTTGGAATAAGTTATTCCAACTTTTTCAGTTGTACTGTACTTTTATTCATACTCGAGGAATTTAAGGCACCTCCAAAAATTTAGGTTTTTTTTTTTTTTTTTTTTCCAACAAGTCGGCCGTCTCCCACCGAGGCAGGGTGACCCAAAAAAGAAAGAAAATCCCCAAAAAGAAAATACTTTCATCATCATTCAACACTTTCACCACACTCACACATTATCACTGCTTTTGCAGAGGTGCCCAGAATACAACAGTTTAGAAGCATATATGTATAAAGATACACAACATATCCCTCCAAACTGCCAATATCCCAAACCACTCCTTTAAAGTGCAGGCATTGTACTTCCCATTTCCAGGACTCAAGTCCGACTATATGAAAATAACCGGTTTCCCTGAATCCCTTCACTAAATATTACCCTGCTCACACTCCAACAGATCGTCAGGTCCCAAGTACCATTCGTCTCCATTCACTCCTATCTAACACGCTCACGCACGCTTGCTGGAAGTCCAAGCCCCTTACCCACAAAACCTCCTTTACCCCCTCTCTCCAACCCTTTCGAGGACGACCCCTACCCTCCTTCCTTCCCCTATAGATTTATATGCTTTCCATGTCATTCTACTTTGATCCATTCTCTCTAAATGACCAAACCACCTCAACAACCCCTCTTCTGCCCTCTGACTAATACTTTTATTAACTCCACACCTTCTCCTAATTTCCACACTCCGAATTTTCTGCATAATATTTACACCACACATTGCCCTTAAACAGGACATCTCCACTGCCTCCAACCGTCTCCTCGCTGCTGCATTTACCACCCAAGCTTCACACCCATATAAGAGTGTTGGTACTACTATACTTTCATACATTCCCTTCTTTGCCTCCATAGATAACGTTTTTTGACTCCACATATACCTCAACGCACCACTCAACCTTTTTTCCCTCATCAATTCTATGATTAACCTCATCCTTCATAAATCCATCCGCCGACACGTCAACTCCCAAGTATCTGAAAACATTCACTTCTTCCATACTCCTCCTCCCCAATTTGATATCCAATTTTTCTTTATCTAAATCATTTGACACCCTCATCACCTTACTCTTTTCTATGTTCACTTTCAACTTTCTACCTTTACACACATTCCCAAACTCATCCACTAACCTTTGCAATTTTTCTTTAGAATCTCCCATAAGCACAGTATCATCAGCAAAAAGTAACTGTGTCAATTCCCATTTTGAATTTGATTCCCCATAATTTAATCCCACCCCTCTCCCAAACACCCTAGCATTTACTTCCTTTACAACCCCATCTATAAATATATTAAACAACCATGGTGACATTACACATCCCTGTCTAAGACCTACTTTTACCGGGAAGTATTCTCCCTCTCTTCTACACACCCTAACCTGAGCCTCACTATCCTCATAAAAACTCTTTACAGCATTTAATAACTTACCACCTATTCCATATACTTGCAACATCTGCCACATTGCTCCTCTATCCACTCTATCATATGCCTTTTCTAAATCCATAAATGCAATAAAAACTTCCCTATTTTTATCTAAATACTGTTCACATATATGCTTCAATGTAAACACCTGATCTACACATCCCCTACCCACTCTAAAACCTCCTTGCTCATCCGCAATCCTACATTCTGTCTTACCTCTAATTCTTTCAATTATAACCCTACCGTACACTTTTCCTGGTATACTCAGTAAGCTTATTCCTCTATAATTTTTACAGTCTCTTTTGTCCCTTTCCCTTTATATAAAGGGACTATACATGCTCTCCGCCAATCCCTAGGTACCTTCCCCTCTTTCATACATTTATTAAACAAAAGTACCAACCACTCCAACACTATATCTCCCCCTGCTTTTAACATTTCTGTCATGATCCCATCAGTTCCAGCTGCTTTACCCCCTTTCATTTTACGTAATGCCTCACGTACCTCCCCCACACTTACATTCTGCTCTTCTTCACTCCTAAAGATGGTATACCTCCTGACCAGTGCATGAAATTACTGCCTCTGTTTCTTCCTTAACATTTAAAAGTTCCTCAAAATATTCTCGCCATCTACCCAATACCTCCATCTCCCCATCTACTAACTCCCCTACTCTGTTTTTAACTGACAAATCCATATTTTCCCTAGGCTTTCTTAACTTGTTTAACTCACTCCAAAAATTTTTTCTTATTTTCATTAAAATTTCTTGACAGTGCCTCTCCCACTCTATCATCTGCTCTCCTTTTGCACTCTCTCACCACTCTCTTCACCTTTCTTTTACTCTCCATATACTCTGCTCTTCTTATAACACTTCTGCTTTGTAAAAACCTCTCATAAGCTACCTTTTTCTCTTTTATCACACCCTTTACTTCATCATTCCACCAATCACTCTCTCTTTCCTCCTGGCCCCCACCCTCCTATAACCACAAACTTCTGCCCCACATTCTAATACTGCATTTTTAAAACTATTCCAACCCTCTTCAACCCCCCCACTACTCATCTGTTGCACTAGCCCACCTTTCTGCCAATAGTCGCTTATATCTCACCCGAACTTCCTCCTCCCTTAGTTTATACACTTTCACCTCCCTCTTACTTGTTGTTACCACCTTCCTCTTTTCCATCTACCTCTTACTCTAACTGTAGCTACAACTAAATAATGATCCGATATATCAGTTGCCCCTCTATAAACATGTACATCTGGAGCCTACCCATCAACCTTTTATCCACCAATACATAATCCAATAAACTACTTTCATTACGTGCTACATCATACCTTGTATATTTATTTATCCTCTTTTTCATAAAATATGTATATACTTATTACCAAATTTCTTTCTACACATAGCTCAATTAAAGGCTCCCCATTTACATTTACCCTGGCACCCCAAATTACCTACTACTCCTCCATAACATTTTTACCCACTTTAGCATTGAAATCCCCAACCACCATTACTCTCACACTGATTCAAAACTCCCCACGCATTCACTCAACATTTCCCAAAATCTCTCTCTCTCCTCTACACTTCTCTCTTCTCCAGGTGCATACACGCTTATTATAACCCACTTTTCACATCCAATCTTATTTTACTCCACATATCCTTGAATTAATACATTTATAGTCCCTCTTTTCCTGCCATAGCTTATCCTTCAACATTATTGCTACTCCTTCTTTAGCTCTAACTCTATTTGAAACCCCTGACCTAATCCCATTTATTCCTCTCCACTGAAACTCTCCCACCCCCTTCAGCTTTGTTTCACTTAAAGCCAGGACATCCAGCTTCTTCTCATTCATAACATCCACAATCATCTCTTTCTTATCATCTGCACAACATCCACGCACATTCAGACTTCCCACTTTGACAATTTTCTTCTTCTTATTCTTTTTAGTAATCTTTACAGGAAAAGGGGTTACTAGCCCATTGTTCCCGGCATTTTAGTTGACTTTTACAACACGCATGGCTTACGGAGGAAAGATTCTTATTCCACTTCCCCATGGATATAAAAGGAAAATTAATAAGACCAAGAACTATTAAGATAAAATCAAAGAAAACTCAGGTGAGTGTGTATAAATAAATGTGTACATGTATGTGTAGTGTGACCTAAGTGTAAGTAGAAGTAGCAAGACATGCCTGTAATCTTGCATATTTATGAGACAGACAAAAGACATCAGCAATCCTACCATCATGTAAAACAATCACAGGCTTCGTTTTACACTCACTTGGCAGGACGGTAGTACCTCCCTGGGTGGTTGCTGTCTACCAATGAAAAATTATCTGTAATTTCTCCAGTTATGGAATTTCACATGGATCACCTGAGTGATCCATGCATGACTGAGGAAAACTTTGCCAGGAATCTATTTGCAGTTTGATGGAAAACAATTTTGTTCTTCAATTCAGATCAACGCCATTACCAAAGGTTTTCGAGTCGCTGAAAGAGTACTGGAATATATTCCAAAATGTGGAACCCCCTTCCCCCTCTGTGGGAGACTGGCAGATCCTGAAGGGCAGAACAAGCAGCTAGCTAGATGGCTAGTGTGCGTGTGTGCGTATTTGTTTGCTACCTTGAACATCTGCATTTCCAACACAGTGGAAATCAGTTTTTGGGTTTGTTAGAAATGCAGCAACCACTGTTGTATACAATATATAGAATAGTGGGATGTGGGGAATCACATTTCTGGATAGTTTGTAATGCATTTTGGAAGTCTGAAACAATAATGAATGAGAAAGCAGACATGGTTGCAATTTGTATGATAGAAGCAAGGATTGTGCATACCTCTGCTGAAAGAATCCTGGTTAGCTTTAGCAAATGTCCTCAGATTATTCCGAGGTAAAACAGCTCTGAAGTCTATTCCATCTGAGAATTTGAAAACATCTGTATACGTTGTTGCTGCACGAGAATGCAACCAAGTTATCATGGAAGGAAGAGTGAGCACACTGGCCTTTGGGCAAGGAAGGAGGCAGAAGCAAACTTGAATTGTCAGAACTTTCCAGGAAGGAAGGTGGGGAGGGAAGAGAGTATGATGTAAGGTAGCTGTAAAGGACTAAAGTGGCTGGGCCATTTGCCTTTGCTCCCCTTCACTTATTTCCATCCTTTTTCCTACACATCTTTACCAGGGCTCTAATCACAGTTAAGTTGAGACTTGGTCCCTGTAATCTAACTTGGACAGGATTAGGCCTGAACAAAACAGAAGAAGGGTTAGTCTATCAGCTCCCAAAGTAAAAAGGGTTCAAGTTTTCAGTAGGTTCTGCTATGTACTGCAGATAGCTCTGACGTCAGATAGCATTACTGTAAATTCTCACAATGTGAAGGGGTTGTTGCACAGTTTATGTAGAGCAATCTTCCACTTGGGTTTGGATTGGATGGAGGGAAAGATGAACACAATGATGCCCCACTGCTTCTGTGACTTCAGCAGGATCTGTTACTTTTTCAATGGCAGTGGTCTGGAGACAATTCTGGGGGTCAATGCCCCCATGGCTAAGTCCCAAACCAGGAGTCCTGGTCTGGGACTGAGCACATAGAAGGAAGTGGCATTTACAGTGATCATGCAAGCAGGCCAACAAGTTTGTTTAGCTAGCCATGTAAAGCAACACGTGTGAGTTCTTTCTTGTTTTATAATCTAAACAAAGGTCTTTGGTACAGTTGTAATGATACACACACTACACAGCACCTTTCAAATGAACTGCTCAAGCTCAGGCCACCAAAGGATAAATTTTTGAAAATGATTACCTGAAGTCCAGGGGATGGCAAGTGTGGCTGCAGTGAGTACAGTGGAGACAGAGCTGTAATTGGTCGTCTGTAGAGGTACTGGGAGGAGAATCAGGAAAAGAAGGATGACAAGTATAGAGCACCCAATTTGCATACTCAAACTGCCACCACCTTGCTGGAGTGGGGCTACATCATCAGTTTTCAGGGTTTGTGAGATATTGTCTGTGTCTAGACTGTCAGTATAGGATATTTAGTTTGTGTTAATATTATTAGAAATTTTTAAATACAGGTTACCCAAGTTGGGGTTATAAAGGTTGTTCGTCTTTGGTGTGCTTAACTGGAAAGTAAACATAGTTGTACTCTTGTAAATATTTACAGTAGTTCATTTTTCTGTTGGTATTTGTGAAAGTAATGTCACCCTTAACCAAAGGCCTAGTACTTGAGGTGTGTGCACACTTAGATTTTGCATAAAAGACAAAATATTTGGCGTTTCATCAAATTATGTTGGTAACCTTTTGCTCTCTGACTCAGATAAGATTTTCTTCGGATTTTTAACCCCGGAGGGTTCGCCACCCAGGATAACCCAAGAAAGTCAGTGCGTCATCGAGGACTAACTTATTTTCACTGGGGTCCTCAATTTTGTCCCCCAGGATGCAACCCACACCAGTCTACTAACATCCAGGAACCTATGTATTTGCTGCTAGGTGAACAGGACAACAGGTATATCAGGAAACGCATCGAAATGTTTCCACCTGCCGGGAATCAAACCCGGGCCCTCCGTGTGTGAAGCGAGAGCTTTAGCCACCAGCCACCTGGCTATGATGCCTATGTTGGATGGCATGTGGCTAGCACCAACAGCCTTATTGATCAGACTATAGACCTGGAGAGGAAAAGTCATTCCATTTCTAACTTAAGTACATGTAGTTACTGTTTTTTCTAATACTATAATGCTGCACGTGCCTTCTGGAGGCAATGATTTATGGTAGATTGATGCTACTTGTACTCTCTTATCAGCATATTTCATTATGAAACAAATTTGTTCCCAGCTAATTTGTTAAGGTTTAATGTATTGAAACACTCCTAAGATGATTTTTGTTGGACTAATCATGTCTGTGATTAAAGCACATGTAGACTGATCAGGGTGTGCTCTGAGTTTGTTGCATACAACATACATATTTTATACAATTTTTTTTTTTTTTTTTTTTTTTTTTCAATTATAGGGAAAGTATCATCCAATCTGTATGGCTGTACTTTTTGCTGCCTTAAAGACCATTTATCATTGCTAATTGTTAATTGGTATGTGACAGTTGAAGTGAATCATCTCTTGGAACTTTCTTTACTACTACAAGGTTTGTTACAGTCTGAGCTTAGAACTCGTGGAAATTTGTATCTGGTTGCTTGTACACAAGAACACTGACTAAATCCTGGTTTTCAAATTATAATGCTAATAACATGACTACATGATCTGTGGTTAAGATATGGTACAAAATAACCGACAAATGTGAAATAAGACACGAGCGCGGTATTAGAATATTTTAAGGGAACATTTTCACCACAAAGGTCTTGTCATTCATGGTGAAAGGTCTCCTCAATAAAATATCCTAATACTGCATGTGTCTTACTTTACATCATTTGTGGTGTTATGTAGCTCAATGCCAAACTGAAAATAACATCCAGAGCCCATTTTCCATTGTGGCTGGATTTTTTTAGTTACTGCACTCCTAGATTGTACTACTTACAAGTACCCATTGAGCTGTCATAGTAGTCTTTAATATTTGACTTTGTGGACTGTAAATGTTGCCTTTGCATCACCAAGGATACTTACATAAGGTATTTTATAGTTAAATGTCTCTCATGTTTGCAAAACGTAATGATGTTATAGTATGTGATTGTTTTTCTTCTTTTTTTTTTTTTTTTTTTTTTTTTTTTTGTCTTGCTGTCGTTTGTATCTGTAGCTTTGATGTGACAGCCACTGACTGGGTTTGTGTTCTGCCCAACAATCAAACATGACTCTGAGATAACACAACAATCTTGAAGGTGATGTAAGCAAGTCATTTTATCTTGAGTTATGGCATTTCTTTGCATGGTTGTATCTACATGTTCCATATCTGCACACACCCCAGGCATAGTATCTATTCCTTTGGAATTACTGTTGCTTGTAATTCACATGATACATTTTCACAACTGTTTCTTTTAAGTCTGTACCCAAAACATGGGCAGCAGTTTGTGTAATGTTTGGTGTACTGTTCACATGTACTTCTGAACTAATACAGTATTTATTTTTTTAACAGTGTGCAATTCTGTGCCATAAATGGGGGCATCAGTTCTGGTAGATCAAAATTTTCCCTTGAACTTTGTGTGATAGTTGGTGTACCATGAAAACTGTTGTGGCACCACCAACACATGGCACAACAGCAACACGTGTTATGTGGCATCACTGCTCGTATAAGACCAGTAAAAAGCACCACTCACCTTATGTTGTGGGGAGGAAGGGCAGCTACCCACTCGTCCACGGTGATGGGCGACTTGGGTGTTGGAGGCCGGGGATGGGCAGCCAGATGAGCGGCAAGGGTGGAGGTAGGAGTGAAGGAATCCTGGGTGGCAAATACTGCCCCCTCCAATGAGCCGCCCCAACCCGAAGCTGCACTGCCACTCTCTAGCACAAAGGTAGGTGTGTTGCCAGAGCCCACATTTGTTGCTGCAGTGATCAAGATCTTTGGTCCTGCACCACTTACTACCACATTGGTGTGCTCATCATCATGCACACCTTCACACTCTGTTCCACCACTCCCCACGCCCATGCAAATATCTTTGCCGCCCTCGATTGCCGCCACCTCTCTATCGCCGGAGTTAGGTGCTCCACTCGATACTCCAGAGCTCTCCCCCTCGTCACTACCCCCTAGAATGGTCACATCAACCTCTTCTGGGCTGCCATCAAGGTTATCACTAATTAATGGGGTCACACTTGATTCTTGTCTCCTTTGATCAAAGTCAACACTACTCAATGTAGTCACACTTACTTCTTGCTTTCTCTGATCAAGGTCATCACTAACTAATGAAGTCAAATCTGGGTCTTGAATTCTTTTTTCAAGGTCATCACTTATTACTGGAGTCAAGTTTGAGTCACACAGTCTCTGAACTTCACCATCTCTAATAACCGAGGTCACAACTGATATTTGCTTGCTTTGATCAAGGTCATTGGTAATTACCAAGGTTGAACTCTGACCCTGTTGTCCTTGTTGGAGGTCATCACTAACTGGAAGGGTCACGTGCAGCACTTTCCTGTCAAGGTCAACAGTAGGCAGCAAGATACCGTCTGCACTTACACCCTCGCAGCTACTCTCACTAACCACTCTCTCTCTTACTCTGCTCTCTTCTCGTTCACTATAACTCTCACCTACACTCTCCGTACTTACGCTGCTCACCTCAACCCAATTAGTTCCTCCATGCCTATCATCATCGTGGGCTTGAGTCATTATCTGTGGTGTGTGAGCGCGTTCAAGCAGTTCATCACCACTCAGTTTTAGAGAGGTGACACTGACACTAATGCTGCCAACTTCCTGCCGGCCAAGAAACATACCCTCAGAGCTCCAGTCCGAGCTAGTACTCTCTAAACTCTTTCCTTCACTATCGTAAGTGTCCCTGGTGATTCTACTACAGCTATCATCTTCACTATATGGTATGTTTCTACTACAACTATCATTTTCACTAGAAGCAATGTTTCTACTACTACTATCACCTTCACAATAAGATATACTTCTACTACTACTTTCATCTTCACTATATGAGATGTCCCTGGTAGCTCTACTATCATCTTCACTGAAAGAGGTGTCTCGAGTAACTCTACTATCATCTTCACTGACAGAAGTGTCTTGAGTAACTCTAATATCACTACTGTCACTTAGCTTAACACCGTCTGTATCACTGTCTTGGCAAGAGCTGCTTTTGTCATGAGACTTATCACTGCCATTACCATCACTGTGTCTAGTGTCATAGTCAAGGCTGCTTTCTGTAATTTCCCTTAGGCCACTGCCACCACCAGTGGAATCTTGCTCACTGTTACTTCCATCTGAGTGAATGATGTCATCCCCTCCACTTATCATGGCTTCACAAAAGCGTTTTCGAGTCATCGAGAGAGTCGAGTGTGGGGTGCTGGGGGAAGACGACGGCGAAGCAGTAAGAGGGGGTGAACCATGATAGAAGAAAGCATGGTCGACACCAGCCAAGCTAGGGCGCTTAGCTGTGGGCTCCCCCTCACAGCCACCACCATCATTACCTCGCCGTGGCATCCCACTGCTGTCTTGTGTATCACTGCTGGCCGAGTCACTTTCGCGCCCCTCGCTCATCTCTTCTTCCTTATGTAGTGCACCTGGAGTGTCTCTGTGGGAGCCACTAGCAACTACTTCACCATTCACCACCAAAGGCGATTCTAAATCTTTCTCTGCCACTACCGCTAATCCCTCTACCTCATTTTTTTCCACCGGAATTCCATTCTTGTCTTTCACTGTAGCTTCATCTGGAAGAGCTTCATCATCATCCAGTGACTCAAGTGCCAAAGACCTGAATATAACAGTGCCAGTGCTGGTGTCACCAGTGTCATCTGACGAGGTAGTTCCCGATGATGTACTTGGAGAAGACACACCCACAGGCGAGGTACACACTGACAAACTTTCTCGTGCCTCCACTGATGCTAGGCTGTTAACATCACTTCTACTAACACCATTGCTCTCACTGGTGCTCTGCTCAATGCTCTCACCAAAGTATTCAAAAGATCTACTCTGAGAGTCATCTGGCGAGGCTTCTCCAACTTTATCTTCTTGCTCTTTGTTGTCGACATCCAAATCAGAAGAAAGCAGTTTCTCGGAGGTCAAGCGGTGTGCAGCATATTGGGAGAGGCGAGGAGCTCTGCGGGGGGATGGGCACACTGCCCTCGGCTGCTTGTCTCTTCCTGCTAGTTCTTGTCCTTCTCTTGCAGTTGATTCCTTCCGTTGGTGGCCTGCTGTGCTACGGGAGGAGTGACGTGTGATGAGGCGATGGTGGTGGTAGCGTTGCTTGAGGGCAGTGGTAAGACAACCCACACTGCCCTGTAGACGCCGCCACTGACACAAGGTGGATGACACTACACGGTTCACACCTCTTACCCCTCCGCCCTCACTCACCACACTGCTAACACTCTCTCTTCTCCCTTCACTATCATCTGACACGCTTCTCTTCTCCGTCTCACTGTCACTCCTCTCCCCTTCTCTCTCACTAATTTCTTCACTGCTTGTCTCTACTCTAGTATGTTCTCCCTCACCTTCCTGCACACCTTTATCAAGACCCTGGGTGCAGACACAACTTGTTTCTACACTGTGCTTGGAGTGTTCAACAGACAGAGGTGAAGACTGAGGGGAGTGAGGGAATGTAGAGTAAGTCACAGCACTGAAGGATGTGGCATGTGGTGTGCTTCTGGTCAAGAGGCTGTTATCAAGAGGCTGAAGAGATGGCAAAGAAGTTACCCGAGGAGGGAGGGGCTGGTGTTGCTGCTGCTCTGAGGTTGCCTCTTGTGAGTGTGTTGCTCCTACATATGCACTCCTCTCAGCTAGCCTCTCATCCTGTCCATCTGACCTCACTTCCTTTCTCTCACTATCTTCACTATCTGTATCCGCTACACCACCGTCTACCCCACTAGGAGAGGGCTGGCCAGTCTCAGATGCTAGCCTGTCAAACTGCTTCTGGTGTCTGGGTGTGTGAGATTCATTCCCTGTGTCATCTTCCAGGAGCTGGTTTGTCCTCAACGACTGCTGATGCTGGTGTTCTTTACCTCCAGGAAATGTGTCTACTTTTTCCCTGCTGCTCTCTACAGGCTCAGACCATTTAAACAAAATCCTCTTCAGTTTCTTGCCTATAATATGATAGCTCCTGCCTTGCTTGCTAGCAAATTTGTCATCAACAAGGTCATATTGTGGGGGCTCGGGTGAGTGAGTATGGTGATAGTGGGGAGGGGGCTCAGGCGAGATACTACTGCAGTAGTGGAACTGTGGCTCTGGCGAGTGAGTAGAATGGAAGTGAGGTGATGGTGGTAGTGAGGTAACAAGGTGGTTGGTCTCTGCACCTGCAGTGTCGCACCTCTCACCTGAAGCCCCGTCCTGACTGCCAGTCCACACTTGCCCGTTATCTTCCTCTGTTACAGTATTCTTACCCACTGCCCCCAATGTATCACTCACGCCGCCTTGCAGCTCTGGATGTATGGACGTGCCCCCACTTTGTTGTGGAGTTTGGGGTGTGTGGGTGCCAGGGGATAGGGATATGCCTCCAACGAGTCGAGGAATTGGGGGCGTGTGATCACTGGGGTCGGAAGGTGGGGTTGTGTGCCCACCAGAATGTGAGGGTTGAGGTGTGTAACCGTTGGATCCCAGCACACTGTGACAAAATGAAGACGAGTCCCCCTCCTGATGCCACAAGTGAGAGTCTGGCCCGGCATGGGCACTGAGGTGGTGGTGGTGGTGGTGGTGGTGGTGGTAGTGATGGGTGTGAAGGAGGGATTCAGTCAGCAGGTGGGGGGATGGCCCACCTAGCTGGCTGCACGAATGGGCCAAATGGGTGGCATGACTACTTGGTGAAGGCTGCGGGGAGGAGCCAGTGGGTGTAGCAGGTGGGGCAGCTGGTGGAGCGTGGGCGAATATGGGCGATGATGATGAGGAGGATGCAGATGAGAGGGCGTCCTGGGGGTCGAGAGTGAGGGCGGCAGAGATGGTGGTGATATGGGCGTGGGTGGGGGAGTCCTGTCCACACGTGTACCTCACCACAGGGGAGTCTTTACCAGGTGCCAACTTCCCACATACTCTCCCGCTTGAAGTGGTGTGGGCAGAAGTGCGGGCATGGGCAGGGCTGGTGTGGGCATGGAGAGAGTGAAGCAGCCCTGAGAAACGACTTGTCCACCTGCCACCTGCAATGTAAATCACATTGTTGAGTTTTCAATGGAGAAAGAGAGAGGAGGACTGTCAACATTTACAAAGTGCTAAGACCATAAGATCATTCAACTCTCTATGCAACAGATTTCATACATACCATACATACACACACTCATTTGTTGCATACCACACATGCGCACATTCACTGAGAGAGGGAGCAGAGGGATTGTGTGCACTGCTAGCAACAATGTTCAACAAGTCTATCAAAAAAGGGAAACTGCTAGAGGTGTGAAAGGCAACAAATGTTGTCGCAATTTTTAAGACAGGAGACAGACAGGCAGCAGTAAACTACATGAAGCTTGGGGAAGGTCAAAGAAGACTGCAGACAGAGTATGGGCTCAGAGGGTAAAGGTTGCAAACTTCACTTAAGGACTTTGGGGTGAGTATCATACTAAGCATATCCCGAGGCACACATGAACCAAGTAACTGCTGCAACAAATGTGCATCTGGCAACTCTAAGAATAACTTTTCAACATTAAGTAAGGAGTCATTCACGACAATTCTGTGTACATCAGGCCCATATTGGAATATGCAGCACCAGTATGGAACCCACACCTGGTCAAGCATATCAAGAAATTTGAGAAAGTGCAGAGGTTTGCAAGAAGACTAGTCCTGGAGCTAAGGGGTATATTCTACGAGAAGATGTAAAGAGAACTCAACCTGATGACAGTGGAGGACTAGGGAGGATATGAAAACGATATACTGTACATAATACTGAAAAGAATCGACAATGTGAAAAAGGACAGAATGTTTCACAGGTGGGAAACAAGAACAAGAGAGCACAACTGGAAGTTGAAAACTCAGATGAGTCATAGGATGTTAGGAAGTATTTCTTCAGCCTTAAGAGTTGTCAAGAAGTGGAACAATCTGGAGAGTGACATGGAAGAGAGAGGGAGGTCCATACATGCTTAAAGACAAGGTATGACAAGGCTCTTGAAGCCAGGAGAGTGGACCTAGTAGTGACTAGCAAAGAGGCATGGGCCAGGAGTACTGACCTGACCCTTGCAACTACATATATACAAGTACATGCACACATACTATACATGAGAATACACTGGCACACACACACACACACACACACACACACACACACACACACACACACACACACACACACGCACACATGCACACACGCGCACACACACACACACACACACACACACACACACACACACACACACACACACACACACACACACACACACACTTATTCATATACCACACATCTGAACTTGAATACTCTTCATCACTCAAAAGACAATCAAAGAGTTGTTGGCATTAAAAGCCTCTCTCAAAATTATCCTGAGAACCCTACAGGTGCTCCGATGATTTAAAAGCTTAAGCTGCAATCACACAATCACTCATGTGAGGCAATATACCCATATAGGTAATTCAGCACATGGAGTGATGGAGGCTCACTCTCCCATCCACTAATAGTGAAACAAACTATTGCAGCCAGGATTCCCCAATCTACAGAGAATTTTACTGTGATAATCACTCGGACTTACAACTCGCTCTCCAACCAGAGTACTCTACGTGTATTTTACTTTTTTATTGTTTTTAATGCAATGCCTAGTTCTATTTTTAATATACTAAAAATGTTATAAATGGTGCAAAGGTGACATTGAAATAATATCTAAAGATGGTTGACACAAACCCACTACCAGTACAGTATGCTTGATATATCAGTAAGGGGCAGCTCCTCGCTTACCGGCCCACTCTTAGGAATGTAACTCAGTCGTTAAGTGAGGAGTACCTGTACTATAATACCGAACTTCCACATAGTGTCTTAAGCCTCCTCTTCCTCAAAGTCAACAACCACCAAAATGGTAGTGGCTGGTAAAACACACCTAAATATCACCAGTCAGGGAAACCAAAGGAATCCGTACATGACTGAGACCTACAGAACCTGAAGTATAGTGGAACCTTGGCACTCGAACTTAACTGGTTCCAGAAGGCTGTTTGAGTGCCGATCTGTTCGAGTACAGAACAAATTTTTCCCAACCAATTTTCTTTTTGGTTGGCTGTTATTGCTAACCCTCTTAGGCACCATGGTGACTTATTTATACATACAATATAAAAAATCACCAAAAAATGCAAAGAAACATGAAATAGTTAACAGCGAAGTTCTAGCAGGTTGTGTTTGTTTGGTCGAGTGCCAAGCAAAAGGTTGACTACCGAGTGATTTGTTTACTGGACAAAGCATTTGAATACCGAATTGTTCGAGTACGGAGCTGTTGAAATACCGAGATTCCACTATACACTGAGAGGAGACATTGGACACCAAATACCAGACCACAAACATTTGAAAAAGCTCAAGAAATAGGTCTTCAAGAGAAGAATGGCCAAGGACTCAATCCTTCAGTGTATACTGATGAAGTAAAAGTTTATAAGGTTTAACATGAACTTAATGTGCTGAATTTTTTTTTATAATAAGTAAATGTGAACACTTCAGTGGGGTGATATATAATCAGACATATTTGGATATGTATTCAGACATACTTGGGTGATATGTATTTGGACTTGAAAATTTTATGATGGCCACAACCACAACCTAACCACAACTTTATTAAAAAAAAAAAAAAACTAGGCCAGTAGCCAGTCCCTTCTAAGTCACTTGTCAATGCACTAAAAATTGTGCAAATGTAAACTGTATTCAATGGAGTAATTGAAATTCAAACCCAGGGTATGGCCATGGTTGGAGAATTCAAAAGAATTCTCCAACCAGATTTACAGGGAAACTTAACATTCTTTGAATGACTAGAGTGCGAGTTCAAATCCTGATCATTCCAGTGAGTTGTAACCTTACATGTTAATGAGACAGAAAAAGACCAGCAATCCTATTAAAATGCAAAACATTTAACAAGCTTCTGCTTCATATTCATATGAGAGGATGGTAGTACCTTACCTTCCTGAATAGTTGCAAGCATGCATAATTCCTTTGTATAAGGGAAAAAGAGTACAAGAGATAGAGCAAGAAACGTAGTGAACTTGGCATGCTGAGTACATGTATATGTATATGCACAGGATAACATTTATTGAATGAGTGCCAGAGAGAGGAAACGAGTGTAGATCAACAAGTTTGTAATGGAAGGGGAGGTACTGATAAAACAGTTTACGCTGAAGCATCTAAGCTCTTTGTAGCATTTATAAATTTGGAAAAAAAAAGATAAGGTGGCTAGAGAAGCAATGCTGTGGGTTTTGTAAATATATGGAATAGGTGTTAAACTGCTGTAAGATATGGAAATAAATGGTATAAAATACCGACACAATGGAAATATAAACATGTGCAGTATAATGTGATCCTTTATTGACAACTTTTCGCCCACACAGAGGGCTTTTATAATTATAATTATATAATTTTTATGAGGAGACAGAAGCTTAGATGAGTACAAAGAAGTGTAGGTGAAACTGTCCAGGAAGGAATGTGTGATATCAACATGATTATTTTGTTTTTTTAGATCGAGTTGTAAAGGAAGAGAATGCTAGTGTTGGGAAGAGGTCTAATCTTAAAAGATAATAAGGCTGACATTAAGTAGGTGTTGTCACTGTTGCTCTTTGCTGATGATGTAGTAATTTTGGGAGACTTAGAAAAGAAGTTTAAAAAGTTGGTAGATTTTGGCAGGGTGTGTAAAAGTCAAAGTTAAATGTTAACACAGAAAAGAGCACGGTGATAAGAGTACTTACTGTAAGTTTAAGTCTAGGAATTGAAAGATTGGACATCAGATTGGAAAAATTGTACTGATAAAGTGACTGCAATTACAAGTTTGATGTTTGCAGATGGGTCTTTGAATGGTAAGGTGAATCACACAATAGCAGGAGTGTTCTGACATCTGTGGAAAGAAATTTATCAGTAGATGCAGAAAGGGTAATGTCCCCAAGAATAGTGATGCTAATACTTGTGTGTATGGCTATGAGGCATAATTTTTAAACATTGCTATCTCCTTTACTGGCCACTTCCCACCAAAGTAATGTAGCCCAAAGAAGTTAAAACATTTATCATCATTCATTTAACAGCTGTCTTGCCAGGAATGTGTGAGCATCACAATTCAAATGTCTCTTCAAACAGTAACATCCTTACCAATCCTTCTGAGTGCTTGCTACCACTCTACTTCCTACCCCCTAGGGTTCAAGTCCACTGACTAGTTTCCCAGAATCCCTTTGTAAATGTCAGTTTCCAAATACTCCAATGCCATGTCAAATCCCAAAAACTGCTAGCTTCCACTCTAATCTAGCACACTCACATGTCTGCTGAATACTCAAGCCCCTACCACTCAAAACCTACTTCACCTCCTTCCCCCCCAACATTTCTTAGGACAACCCTTATCCATCCTTCTATCCACCCCGGATTTATATATCGTCTTGGCAAAATTAGTCTGTTCCTTTCTAAATGACCAAACCATTTCAACAATCCCTTTGAATTATACCCATCACACCCCACATAGTTTCCTAATTTCTATGTTCTTTCATATTTGCTTAATATTTAACACTGATCTCACACACAATCTCCATGCCTCTAGCCTTCTCACTCAGTGTATATAAAAGGGGTAAAAGGTTGTTACAAATATACTCTGATACAATTTTCTTTTTGCCTCCACTGACAAAACTCCCCCTCCCCTCTCTCTCACACACACACTACAGATAACTCAACACCACCTGCTTTTTTCCCCTTTATTTAATAAATGTATGGAAGAGGGTAAGGTACCTAGGGATTGGCAGAGAGCATGTATAGTTCCTTTGTATAAAGGCAAAGGGGACAAAAGAGAGTGGAAAAATTATAGGGGGATAAGTCTGTTGAGTATACCTGGTAAAGTGTATAGTAGAGTTATTATTGAAAGAATTAAGTGTAAGACGGAGAATAGGATAGCAGATGAACAAGGAGGCTTTAGGAAAGGTAGGGGATGTGTGGACCAGGTGTTTACAGTGAAACATATAAGTGAACAGTATTTAGATAAGGCTAAAGAGGTTTTTGTGGCATTTATGGATTTGGAAAAGGCATATGACAGGGTGGATAGGGGGGCAATGTGGCAGATGTTGCAGGTGTATGGTGTAGGAGGTAGGTTACTGAAAGCAGTGAAGAGTTTTTACGAGGATAGTGAGGCTCAAGTTAGAGTATGTAGGAAAGAGGGAGATTATTTCCCAGTAAAAGTAGGCCTTAGACAAGGATGTGTGATGTCACCGTGGTTGTTTAATATATTTATAGATGGGGTTGTAAGAGAAATAAATGCGAGGGTCTTGGCAAGAGGCATGGAGTTAAAAGATAAAGAATCACACATGAAGTGGGAGTTGTCACAGTTGCTCTTTGCTGATGACACTGTGCTCTTGGGAGATTCTGAAGAGAAGTTGCAGAGTTTGGTGGATGAATTTGGTAGGGTATGCAAAAGAAGAAAATTAAAAGTGAATACAGGAAAGAGTAAGGTTATGAGGATAACAAAAAGATTCGGTGATGAAAGATTGGATATCAGATTGGAGGGAGAGAGTATGGAGGAGGTGAATGTATTCAGATATTTGGGAGTGGACGTGTCAGCGGATGGGTCTATGAAAGATGAAGTGAATCATAGAATTGATGAGGGGAAAAGGGGTGAGCGGTGCACTTAGGAGTCTGTGGAGTCAAAGAACTTTGTCCTTGGAGGCAAAGAGGGGAATGTATGAGAGTATAGTTTTACCAACGCTCTGATATGGGTGTGAAGCATGGGTGATGAATGTTGCAGCGAGGAGAAGGCTGGAGGCAGTGGAGATGTCATGTCTGAGGGCAATGTGTGGTGTTTACCTGGAGAGAGTTCCGGGGGTCAACGCCCCCGCGGCCCGGTCTGTGACCAGGCCTCCTAATGGATCAGAGCCTGATCAACCAGGCTGTTGCTGCTGGCTGCACACAAACCAACGTACGAGCCACAGCCCGGCTGATCAGGAACTGACTTTAGGTGCTTGTCCAGTGCCAGCTTGAAGACTGCCAGGGGTCTGTTGGTAATCCCCCTTATGTGTGCTGGGAGGCAGTTGAACAGTCTTGGGCCCCTGACACTTATTGTATGGTCTCTTAACGTGCTAGTGACACCCCTGCTTTTCATTGGGGGGATGGTGCATCGTCTGCCAAGTCTTTTGCTTTCGTAGAGAGTGATTTTCGTGTGCAAGTTCGGTACTAGTCCCTCTAGGATTTTCCAGGTGTATATAATCATGTATCTCTCCCTCCTGCGTTCCAGGGAATACAGGTTTAGGAACCTCAAGCGCTCCCAGTAATTGAGGTGTTTTATCTCCGTTATGCGCGCCGTGAAAGTTCTCTGTACATTTTCTAGGTCGGCAATTTCACCTGCCTTGAAAGGTGCTGTTAGTGTGCAGCAATATTCCAGCCTAGATAGAACAAGTGACCTGAAGAGTGTCATCATGGGCTTGGCCTCCCTAGTTTTGAAGGTTCTCATTATCCATCCTGTCATTTTTCTAGCAGATGCGATTGATACAATGTTATGGTCCTTGAAGGTGAGATCCTCCGACATAATCACTCCCAGGTCTTTGACGTTGGTGTTTCGCTCTATTTTGTGGCCAGAATTTGTTTTGTACTCTGATGAAGAATTAATTTCCTCATGTTTACCATATCTGAGTAATTGAAATTTCTCATCGTTGAACTTCATATTGTTTTCTGCAGCCCACTGAAAGATTTGGTTGATGTCCGCCTGGAGCCTTGCAGTGTCTGCAATGGAAGACACTGTCATGCAGATTCGGGTGTCATCTGCAAAGGAAGACACGGTGCTGTGGCTGACATCCTTGTCTATGTCGGATATGAGGATGAGGAACAAGATGGGAGCGAGTACTGTGCCTTGTGGAACAGAGCTTTTCACCGTAGCTGCCTCGGACTTTACTCTGTTGACGACTACTCTCTGTGTTCTGTTAGTGAGGAAATTATAGATCCATCGACCGACTTTTCCTGTTATTCCTTTAGCATGCATTTTGTGCGCTATTACGCCATGGTCACACTTGTCGAAGGCTTTTGCAAAGTCTGTATATATTACATCTGCATTCTTTTTGTCTTCTAGTGCATTTAGGACCTTGTCGTAGTGATCCAATAGTTGAGACAGACAGGTGTGAATATAATGCAGAGAATTCGTAGTTTGGAAGTTAGGAGGAGGTGCGGGATTACCAAAACTGTTGTCCAGAGGGCTGAAGAAGGGTTGTTGAGGTGGTTCGGACATGTAGAGAGAATGGAGCGAAACAGAATAACTTCAAGAGTGTATCAGTCTGTAGTGGAAGGAAGGCGGGGTAGGGGTCGGCCTAGGAAGGGTTGGAGGGAGGGGGTAAAGGAGGTTTTGTGTGCAAGGGGCTTGGACTTCCAGCAGGCATGCGTGAGCGTATTTGATAGGAGTGAATGGAGACAAATGACGTGCTGTTGGAGTGTGAGCAAAGTAACATTTATGAAGGGATTCAGGGAAACCGGCAGGCCAGACATGAGTCCTGGAGATGGGAAGTACAGTGCCTGCACTCTGAAGGAGGGGTGTTAATGATGCAGTTTAAAAACTGTAGTGTAAAGCACCCTTCTGGCAAGACAGTGATGGAGTGAATGATGGTGAAAGTTTTTCTTTTTTCGGGCCACCCTGCCTTGGTGGGAATCGGCCAGTGTGTTAATAATAATAAAAATAATGTATTCTGTCTATGATTCACATCCACCCCCCAAATACCTAACTACTGTATATGAAATTCCTCAATATTCCTTCACTCTAATCTAATGTCCACTCTTTCATGACCTAGACTTTTTGTTACTCCTGTTATCTTGTATTTTTTCTATGTTCACCTCTTGCACACGCACACACCCAAACTCCTCCAACAACCTTTGCAACTTCTCCTCAGAACTGTGTAATCGGCAAATAACTCTCTTCATTTCAGTCATTATTTTTTAATGAAGAGGTATGCTCCCACACCTCTTCCCAAAACTATTATTCACTTTCTTTACAATCTCAACGATAAACATATTTAACAACCACAGTTACCTTTACACATCTATGTCTAAGACCTACTTTTATTGGAAAAGTCCCCTTCACTCCTACGTACCCTAACCTCTCTCATAAAATTTCTATACTGGTTTTAATAACATAGTGGTTCTGGTGGCCTGGTGGTTAACGCTCTCGCTTCACACGGTGAGGGCCTGGGTTCGATTCCCAGCCAGAGTAGAAACATTGGACGTGTTTCTTTCCACCTGTTGTCTATGTTCCCCATCAGTAAAATGGGTACTTGGGTGTTAGTCGACTGGTGTGGGTCGCATCCTGGGACACTGACCTAAGGAGGCCTGGTCACAGACCGGGCCGCGGGGGCATTGACCCCCGGAACTCTCTCCAGGTAAACTCCAGGTAATACCACCTTATTCATGCATGTTAAATGTATGACACTGATATATGCACAGAATAAGGAATTAAGTGAAGGAATTGGAAGACAGAGGTTGGAAAAGTATAATTCAGAAAGTGGACATGGGCTTGTCGTGTTTGGTCATTTAGAACAGATGGTACAGGAAAGGTTGACCAGAGTGGATGGAAGGTGATGTAAGGTATATCCCAGTACAAGTTGGAAGGCAGGTGTGAAGGTAGTTAGAAGTTAAGAGCCTGAGCATTCAGGAGGAATGTACAAGCATGCTAGGTTGGAGTGAGTGAAGACGGGTTTTTGTGAAGTATTTGACCACTTGCTGGAGTGTGATTATTATTATTACATCCATAGGAGGGTGCTAAACCCATAGAGGCCCACAGCACCTGAGGGAATCGGAGATAATTGGCTTCGATCCAGGGGAATCGAAACCAAGGGGAGGGTGGTCCTTGGATGAAGAACCACCCCGCCCACACTGGCTGGAGTGTGAGCCTGCTGATTATTGGGGTTATATCAATGTTTTAACTGCTCACAAGACAGTTCTACTGCCTGAAAGTGGCTGAAACTATAGCTTGCTTAAATATAATTCAAAGCCACATTTAAGCTTCACTGCAATTTTTTGTGACTGAATTCACATCTACATACATAACTCAATACGACTGTAACTAGATATAAACACGTAAATAGTTAATTACCACTGGACCATGCTTAGATATCTAAACTTTGTGGCTGGGTCCATAGGCTCATTGTGCGCCTGTTTCCCCACAGGATGGGGATGATACATATACTAAAGTTACTAGACTAACTTTCCTAGATTATTTGTAGTGTGGGTTCACAACTGCCGTGAGGATTGATTATGCTATCATGAAATGTGTTAGCCCTTTAACTGTGTCCTATGGGGTGTATTACCCCAGATATGGATGAGAATTAAGGAGGTATTAACAAAGTTATGGGTAAGAATGAAAGGGAGGTATTAACAGAGGTATGGTCAAGAGTATGGGTGGCTATATTAAATATAACATTGGGTAGGGATGAGGGAGAGAGGCGACCAAGTGTTACGCTACCTGAACGCCGGGGACGTCGCCGGGGGGAAGAGGCAACACCAGCACCCCCTCCTGCATGTGGGGTGTGGGGGGCCAGGCAGTAGGCCTGGCCAAGCCGCCAGCAGGAACAGCAGTAGCAGCAGCGTACCATAGCAGCAGCAGCAGCAGCATCACTAACACCACTATCACCACCACCACCACTAACACTACACCTCTCTGCCCTTCATCTGGCTACACCATCACCCTTCACCACCCTGGTCACGGCAATATTTTATAACCATCACCATCATCCTCAGTGGGGACAGTATAGTATTGACACTATCAGGCGTCACATGTATCTCAGGATACCATCATCTTGATCACCATCACCAGCAAAGAGTCGTGTCACTATCAGCCGTCACACGCCACCATCGCTCGGAAAACTATCATCGTCTTCATTTCTCACTACTGTATTAACATCGCCATAAAGCCTAATGTATTAGTTAATGTGCAAGCGAGTATATCAGTGATAAGCACCAAGTCTCACTATCAAAGCCGTCACCATAACAAAAAAAAACCTCACCATCAGGACAAATCTTCCAGTAACAGGTAACACCATCACTAGAAAGACACACTGTCGCTGAACATGACACACTATCAAGTCACTATCACTACACATGATCCTCCAGAGAAGCGTATAGCACCTCCATTATCACCATGGATTTCTCCTTGCGTCAAAAAAAATCTCATTTAATTAAACCCACTGTTTTATTTAATCCCAGAATCCCCCACCTTGGCAGTATATAATGTCAAAATCGACATGATACTCAGAACTCCACCTTGCCTCACCTCAGAACCCCACCTTGCCTCACCTCAGAACCCCCACCTTGCGTCACCTCAGAACCCCACCTACCGTCACATCAGAACCCCCACCTTGCGTCACCACAGAACCCCACCTTGCGTCACGTCACTACTGCTGTCACCCATTATATTCTGCAACAAATCCATAATACATTTCCTTCCAACACTGAATGGATGTATGATTACAAATAATTTCGCTCTGCACTTCTATTGTTAATTTTGCTTTACATTTTCCCAGAGTATTTTTATGATATTTCAAAACTGTGTTTACATTATTATATATATATATTATATATATATATATTATATATATATATATATATATATATATAATATTATATATATATATATATATATATATAATGCCGAATAGGTAAAACTTGGGATTATGGCTTAAATAGCAACGCTCCTCTTGTCAAATAAGGCAGCGAAAGTGTGTATGCAATAATTTCGAAAAAACCATTCTGAACCTAACGAAAAAAAAATATTTCATGGTGTTTGTTCATTATTAAATTACAGTAAACTTATATAAAATATATTTAGTTGGGTTAGGCTAAATTAAATTGCGCTGGTTATAATACGGTTAGGTAAGTTTCCTAGGGTTCTTTTTGTACAAAATCTTTAATTTTTAGATTAACATAAATGAAAAAAATATCTAAATGTATAAGAGAAAATTTTAGAAAAGACTTAATTTTAAACGAGTTCAGCTAATTGACCAGTTTTACCCATTCGGCATTACATATTATATATATATTATATATATATATATATTATATATATATATATATATATATATATATATATATATATATATATATATATATTATTATTATATATTTATATATATAAGGTTGGTAGACAGCAACCACCCAGGGAAGTACTACCGTCCTGCCAGATGACTGTGAAACAAAAACCTGTAATGTTTTTGCATGATGGTAGGATTGCTGGTTTCTTTTTCTGTCTCATAAACACGCTAAGATAACAGGGATATCTTGCTACTCCTACTAACACTTTGGTCACACTTCACAGACACGCACATGCATTATATATTATACATAATTAGGTTTTTCTCCTTTTTCTAAATGCTCTTGTTCTTTTTTATTTCTTCTATTGTCCATGGGGAAGTGGAAAAGAATCTTTCCTCCGTAAGCCATGCGTGTCGTATGAGGCGACTAAAATTGCCGGGAGCAATGGGCTAGTAACCCTTCTCCTGTATACAATTACTAAAAAAGAGAAGAAGAAAAACTTTATAAAAATGGGTTGCTTAAATGTGCGTGGATGTAGTGCGGATGACAAGAAACAGATGATTGCTGATGTTATGAATGAAAAGAAGTTGGATGTCCTGGCCCTAAGCGAAAACAAAGCTTGAAGGGGGTAGGAGAGTTTCAGTGGGGGGAAATAAATGGGATTAAATCTGGAGTATCTGAGAGAGTTAGAGCAAAGGAAGGGGTTAGCAGTAATGTTAAATGATCAGTTATGGAAGGAGAAAAGAGAATTATGAATGTGTAAATTCAAGAATTATGTGGATTAAAGTAAAGGTTGGATGCGAGAAGTGGGTCATAATAAGCGGTGTATGCACCTGGAGAAGAGAGGAATGGCAGAGGAGAGAGAGAGATTTTGGGAGATGTTAAGTGAATGTATAGGAGCCTTTGAACCAAGTGAGAGAGTAATTGTGGTAGGGGACTTGAATGCTAAAGTAGGAGAAACTTTTAGAGAGGGTGTGGTAGGTAAGTTTGGGGTGCCAGGTGTAAATGATAATGGGAAGCCCTTTGATTGAACTTTGTATAGAAAGGGGTTTAGTTATAGGTAATACATATTTTAAGAAAAAGAGGATAAATAAGTATACACGATATGATGTAGGGCGAATATGACAGTAGTTTGTTGGATTATGTATTGGTAGATAAAAGACTGTTGAGTAGACTTCAGGATGTACATGTTTATAGAGGGGCCACAGATATATCAGATCACTTTCTAGTTGTAGCTACACTGAGAGTAAAAGGTAGATGGGATACAAGGAGAATAGAAGCATCAGGGAGAGAGAGGTGAAGGTTTATAAACTAAAAGAGGAGCCAGTTAGGGTAAGATAATAAACAGCTATTGGAGGATAGATGGGCTAATGAGAGCATAGGCAATGGGGTCGAAGAGGTATGGGGTAGGTTTTTTATTTTAAAAATGTAGTGTTAGAGTGTTCAGCAGAAGTTTGTGGTTACAGGAAAGTGGGTGCAGGAGGGAAGAGGAGCGATTGGTGGAATGATGATGTAAAGAGAGTAGTAAGGGGAAAAAAGTTAGCATATGAGAAGTTTTTACAAAGTTAGAAGTGATGCAAGGAGGGAAGAGTATATGGAGAAAAAGAGAGAGGTTAAGAGAGTGGTTGAAGCAATGTTAAAAAGAGAGCAAATGAGAGAGTGGGTGAGATGTTTATCAACAAATTTTGTTGAAAATAAGAAAAAGTTTTGGAGTGAGATTAACAAGTTAAGAAAAGCCTAGAGAACAAATGGATTTGTCAGTTAAAAAATAGGAGAGGAGAGTTATTAAATGGAGAGTTAGAGGTATTGGGAAGATGGAAGGAATATTTTGAGGAATTGTTTAAATGTTGATGAAGATAGGGAAGCTGTGATTTTCGTGTATAGGGCAAGGAGGAATAACATCTTGTAGGAGTGAGGAAGAGCAGTTGTGAGTGTGGGGGAAGTTCGTGAGGCAGTAGGTAAAATGAAAGGGGGTAAGGCAGCCGGGATTTGATGGGATAAAGATAGAAATGTTTAAAAGCAGGTGGGGATATAGTTTTGGAGTGGTTGGTGCAATTGTTTAATAAATGTATGGAAGAGGGTAAGGTACCTAGGGATTGGCAGAGAGCATGCATAGTTCCTTTGTATAAAGGCAAGGGGATTAAAAGAGAGTGCAAAAATTATAGGGGGATAAGTCTGTTGAGTGTACCTGGTAAAGTGTATGGTTGAGTTATAATTGAAAGAATTAAGAGTAAGACGGAGAATAGGATAGCAGATGAACAAGGAGGCTTTAGGAAAGGTAGGGGGTGTGTGGACCAGGTGTTTACAGTGAAACATATAAGTGAACAGTATTTAGATAAGGCTAAAGAGGTCTTTGTGGCATTTATGGATTTGGAAAAGGCGTATGACAGGGTGGATAGGGGGGCAATGTGGCAGATGTTGCAAGTGTATGGTGTAGGAGGTAGGTTACTGAAAGCAGTGAAGAGTTTTTACGAGGATAGTGAGGCTCAAGTTAGAGTATGTAGGAAAGAGGGAAATTTTTTCCCAGTAAAAGTAGGCCTTAGACAAGGATGTGTGATGTCACCGTGGTTGTTTAATATATTTATAGATGGGGTTGTAAGAGAAGTAAATGCGAGGGTCTTGGCAAGAGGCGTGGAGTTAAAAGATAAAGAATCACACACAAAGTGGGAGTTGTCACAGCTGCTCTTTGCTGATGACACTGTGCTCTTGGGAGATTCTGAAGAGAAGTTGCAGAGATTGGTGGATGAATTTGGTAGGGTGTGCAAAAGAGAAAAATTAAAGGTGAATACAGGAAGAGTTAAGGTTATGAGGATAACAAAAAGATTAGGTGATGAAAGATTGAATATCAGATTGGAGGGAGAGAGTATGGAGGAGGTGAACGTATTCAGATATTTGGGGAGTGGACGTGTCAGCGGATGGGTCTATGAAAGATGAGGTGAATCATAGAATTGATGAGGGAAAAAAGAGTGAGTGGTTGCACTTAGGAGTCTGTGGAGACAAAGAACTTTGTCCTTGGAGGCAAAGAGGGGAATGTATGGAGTATAGTTTTACCAACGCTCTTATATGGGTGGGGAAGCGTGGGGTGATGAATGTTTGCAGCGAGGAGAAGGCTGGAGGCAGTGGAGATGTCATGTCTGAGGGCAATGTGTGGTGTGAATATAAAAGCAGGAATTCTGTTTGGAAGTTAGGAGGAGGTGCGGGATTCCAAAACGTTGTCCAGAGGGCTGGGGAAAGGGTTTGTTGAGGGTTTTTTGGACATTGAGAGAATGGAGCGAAAGAATGACTTCAAGAGTGTATCAGTCTGTGTGGAAGGAAGGGGGGGTTGGGGTCGGCCGGGAAAGGGGTTGGGGGAGGGGGTAAAGGGGGTTTTTGTGTGCGGGGGGCTTGGCCCTTCCAGCAGCATGCTTGAGCGTTTTTGATAGGGGTGAATGGGAAAATGGTTTTTAATATTGACGTGCTGTTGGAGGTGGCAAAGAAAATTTTATGAAGGGATTGGGGAAAAACCGGGGCAGGCCGGATTTGAGTCCTGGAGATGGGAAGTCAGTGCCTGCATCTGAAGGAGGGGTGTTAATGTTGCATTTTTAAAAACTGAAAAGTGTAAAGCACCCTTTGGAAGACAGTGATGGAGTGAATGAGGGTGAAAGTTTTTCTTTTTTGGGCCACCCTGCCTTGGGGGGAAAATGGGCCCGGTGTGATAAAAAAAAAAATAAATTAAAAATATAATTATATATATATTATATTTTTAATATTTTAATATATTATATATATATATTTATGTGTGGGGTGTGTGTGTGTTGCCAAATATGTAAACTGGTCTTTTAGCAAAAATCTTTTAAAAATAAAGCCCTTTCCCAAAATTTTCTCTTTTACGTTTAAAAGATATTTTTTTCATTAATGTTAATGTAAAATTTTTTTTTTTTTGCACCAAAAGAATCTTTTGAAAACTTACCTAACCTTATTTTAACAAGCGCAATTTTTTTTAGCCTAACCAACTAAATATATTTTAGATTTGTTTACAATATTTAATACTAAAAAACACAATGAAAATTTTTTTTGTTTGGTTCCAAAAATTTTTTTGGGGAAATTTATTGCTACACAAATTTTCGTTGTCCTATTTTGGCAAGATGAGCGTTTTCTATTTTGCCAAAATGCAAATTCTCCTATTCGGCACCCAATATATTAATATATATA